CTACCATTAGCTATGCAAGATGGAGAAGAAAGGATATTAAAGATATTTATTTAAAATGTTTACATAGCCAAACCTTTGTTTAAATCCATTATTATGCAGAGAAACACAAGGATGCATTCAATATCATTTGAATGAATCACTAGCACTGCAATTTTGTCATGTCTTAATCCTTTCAAGGTGTATGTATATGTGCATATGGGCATATTTTAAAATCTACCTGAGCTCAAAATGTTATTTTCTTAGTATCACTTGGTAAAGGACAATCTCTGTTGGCCAAGAGATCAAAAGAAACATATCCTTTCAATGAATCATTCCATGGAACATAAACATAGGAAGATTGCAAGGAGAAAACGCAGTCTTTCATTTCTATATAATCAAATTGAAAGATTGACCTTTAAGAAATGCATTTTCTATGGTTCTGCAAATTTCCAAACTTTACTATTGAAAACCTTTGAAAATTATCCAGAAAAAGATGCTACAATTAGGAATATGTAATAAATGTACTCTGCCAATTTATGTATAAGAATTTTTTCCTCCAAGAACAGTTTATTTTTTAAAGACTACCGTACAAGAACAGTATAGATAACTATAATGTACATATAATATACAAGAGTATATTCTTAATTATCTGTGCATCCTCTGGCTTAAATTATTGCTTGTGCTACACTATTTGCCACATTATGCCTTCCTTCCTTGCAATTCTTTAAGAATTATATAAAAAACTTTCAAAATAAAATAAAAGCATTGTGGTCTGAAATTAAAATTAAATTCCTTTCACCATATAATCAGGCTTTTAGTAACATTTATGTTATACATTTGGGTAGTTTCTATTCACATACATATTGGATATCACTAAGATTGGGATGCTTCTTAAAACGAAAGTAACATTCAACTTTGATATGCAAATTACATTTATAGCAGTTTTAAAAACTTAGTGCTTAGTTCATTTACTATTCTAGAAAGCATATGGCTCTTCCATTGAGCAAAATATTTTTTTAAGTAGCGATCTAATAATTGCAACTAGAAACATCTTACTGAGAATCCAAAACTACATATCAAAGAATTACTGAATATTGCCAACCCAAAATTTTACTCAACCTCTAATCTAATTGCTCGGGAAAGAGATGTATACAGATTGGTGAATATGTGCAGTTATTTACAGGAATAAAATCACATAAAACACATGCACGTGTACATAGCTCGCTTTCTTCTCTATCCCTTTCCATTAATTCCCACTCTGCTATGTCAGGAACTGCCAAAAGGGGACCCAAAGCTATGCTCACAAGGATAAACATCTCACTCTTAACATGGGCTACATGATGGCTTGCTTTGAGAAAGGCAGGCTTTTGCCTTTTAGGGCTCCACCTGCTTCTCCTGCAACCTTTCATAGTTTATAGCAGCTTCTTAGTAAATCTGAAGGTTGTAACTTCAGACATTCCATGATAATATGATGAATTTCAGAAAGAAAGTAAGCTATGCAAAATATAACAGGAGAGCTTTTAAAAGAAAATAAGTAACTGTTAAAAGATTTTTCCAACAAAAACAGTAATCATTTTCATTGTTTATAGCACAATTTATTATTTTAGGAAATTCACTATATTACAGAGTAAGATTTTTATAGAAAGTCACAGAATTTTGAATATTTTACATAATTCAGCCTACTCAAATGTCTATATGTTAGTTGTTATATGTTACTGAAAAGAGATTTTGTAAACAAGATACGATGAGGAGTTATCACATAATATATCTTGCTCATGGAAGGAACTATGCTCTGTAGCCCAATGATATGAGCAAAATAAGAGGAATCAAGATGTAGAAAGAAAACTCCTAATAGACGCCCAGACTTACTCATCCCTACATAAAGCTGCAACTTTTACCCAAATAATGTAGAGTACCATACATACAGACACTATATACAATTTATCTAACAGAGTGCAATTTTAAAATCATCATAGCATCAGAATGTACATTGAAAACTGTACCAAAAGACACTCAAACATATATTGCTGTTCTATCACACTACCACATTCAAATATAAGCGCCCTATTAGCAATATCCTTTGGCTTGGCATATTATGCAATATGCATTCAAGTGTTTATATAAGCTGCATTAAAACATATTTTAGAGAATTTTTGTATGTACATTTCAAGAGTATTTTCAGATGATATACTCAAAATATTCAGGGTTGCAGAATTAGATTAGCATCCCAAGAAGAGGAAAAAATCACCAAGGGTTACGCACTATACATGTTTTTCTCCATGTTGAAAAAGTGGCCAACAGATATGGGGAAAGTATATAAAGCTTGTAATGGGATTCATTACATTCCCTGAACATGAATAAATCAATCAACTGAGTATAAGCTGAGAAAAAAAGCCACTGCCCTTGGTGGTTCAGAATTTGAACCATCATTATTTGAACTGACACCTTGGGCAACATATATAGTCAATACGTGGACATTTTGTTATGCTAATGAGAAATTCCATGTATGTAAATAAAATAAATCCACAGATATGGCTATTTCAATTCAACCAAGAACCATTTCCATGTAATCTTATTAGAGCAGTCTATTTATTTATTTATTTATTTATTAAACAGATTTATATAGCCGCCCAACTCACACACAGTAACTCCACATGGCATACAACAGTCCTCATTTTGAATCTGTCTAAAAAGAGAAAGAGTTCTAAGATAATTTCTGGGAAGATGAAGCTGTGGCAGAAAGTGGGGGTTCCCAAACTGGTGTATGACAAGAAAGTACAAATCATGAGAAGTCTAATGAGTTTAGGGGAGAATCCTCATAAAGACTACTGCAAATATCCCCATTTTTTCCCCTCTCAATTTTCTCCCCAATTCAAATTACTTCCAACTCTAATCCTAACCCTCTATTCACTTCCTATATTATGGGATTTCATGTAAACTCTATAATTTTTTTTAAAACATACAAGGTGAATGAAATCATAAAGAATCGCTGAATGACACAACCTACAATAAAACAAACAATAGGAAAATACAAAATAATGACTAGCTTTTAACTATGGTAAAATCCCTGGTTCCAAAGTCTTCAAATATTTGAAAATGTATTGTGCTAAGAGTATGCCTTTTTGTTCAAAGAGGTACAATAATGATGAAGGTAATTACAGTGATATAGGAGAAGATACGTTGATCATTTCAGAAAATGAACAATATTATTATCACCTTGTAAAGTCCCTTTGCTACAAATATGTTTGATATAAGTTCTGGGAGTCCATTGCAGCATACTTTCTATTTTCTTAATTATTAAGCAAATCATTAAGTGCATAAAATACTCAGAAATACTGATATGTCCAATACTGATATGATATTTAGCATTAAAATTATTCTCTTCTCTTCAACCATCAACCATTCAGTTTAGGCAGAAATACAAAACCATTATAAGTTACTGGCACTCTCCAATACAGTTTCAACCTATTCATCAAGCCAAACCAATTATTAGCCTCTAGAGGAAGCCAATACAAACATTTTGTAGAAGATAATATTTAACTATAAATTTTTAATTGTTTCATATATTGAATGTTTGGGCATTTGGCTTGTTTCTAGACAAATCATAGCATGCTAGTATACAACAAAATACTTCACGTTTGGAAGTATGCACATCATTGTGCCACTGATTTATCTCTTCTCAAAAGCACTGCAGATAACATTGCAATCCACCATCTCTAGATACACAATGCAATACATTCATGTTTACATAGCAGTAAACCCCACCAACTTAAAACAGGATTACTACTGAAACAGATGAGGTCATTTTTAGACCATTTCAAACATGGCACACTGCTAAACCAAGTTTGCCATTAAATGCACATTGTCCCAGATGAACAAGAAAATTTGAAATTCTGGCTATATGAGATAGATATCATGAGGACCTTTTTTATATGCCTGCATAATACTTTAGGATTATATGTGCATTTTATAGACATGTGTTAAATTCTATGTCTTATGCAACCAGGGCTCAAATACAGTTAAAATCATAAAGAATTGTGTGCCATCTAAAACAAATACATTTTAACATAAGCTGCTTTAGTACATTACAATTGACTTCACTTTCCATCTTTATAACATTTCAGTGTATAACACTTAGTGTTATAATAATCTTAGAGAGCACAATAACTTAAAAACTCAGAAACCCATAACCTCCTGTGGATTTTCCACCATGACTTAAATAAATTATTTAAGCAAGCCCTAAATCAACACATTTACATGAATGAAAAATGCCCAACAAGAGAAAAATAACATTAATCTTTGGGACCATGAAAAATTAGCTCTTGCAGTAATTTTCAGTTTTAAAATATGTTATTGTGGATATCAAATGGATAGTGACCCTAGCTTTTTGTTTAAAGTATTGTCAATACTGAATACTTGTTCCCATTTTTATATTAATATAAAGGGAAAAATTTTGCCCAGCAAAAATAGATAAGATTGTCTTACCACTAGCCCAACTCAACCCCAGATTTATTGGGTTTATCTAGTAAGATATGCTAGGGACTTCAGTCTCTTTAAACCTAGGTAACCACTAATGGAGCAGCCTTACACATGTTTCTCAGAACTAATCAGCTTAATTGAACCAATGAAGCTTAATCCTAAGAAAACTTAAAAGAAACTTAACAATTGCTTTGGCAACTGCCAGCATCTACAAAGATGTACATCATAATGAACATCACAAACATATGTCAATGGTTACATCTGCTATTGAAGTTATACCACCCAGTCATTCTGTACAATTTACCCCTTATGCTCTATTACAGATTTCTGAATATTATTAAAAATGTCTGTATGCAATTAGAAATGATTCTGAGGAGAAGAATTGCCACATAGCAGGAAGGAGTCTTCTGAAATGTTATCAAAACTAAATATTTGCTCCTTGGTAAATAAAGCTTGTCTTTCCAAAGATAGCTTTTTTTCATGCATTGCATTAAAAACAACATACAGATACAGACACATGTATATATAAGGAAAACACTTACTGTTCTAGGAATTGGTGGAGAAAGAGATCCATTAGACATATATGGATCATTGTTCATATTTGGCATCATGATATACCCGGAATAACCAGAATAAGAAGGTCCTTTATTGTACAAGATACCATCTGTGTGTTTGCCTGTAAAAAGCAAGGGTTATTTTAGTTTACATTTCTAATATAAAAGAAATTTTCATATAACACAATCTTCATCAAGCAGCTTTAGCATTTTTTAAAGATTCATCTTTGCTTTCAGTCTTTTCTCAGTTAGGTTTTAAAACCTCTTGAAAGAATATAAGTATATAAAATTTTAGCTGTCCATACAGATGCTGTGTGATAGGTTGTACAGTTTGACTACTAGCGAATATTTCCAACCTTCAAAATTGCAGTCTGCCAGATCTCTATAATATTAAAACGTCAAATAAATCTCTTTACGCCTACAATGTACAGAGAAAATATTTATATATGTGGCTTAGATGTGCTTTCTCTAATGATTAATATGCACTTTGTGTAATTCTAAAACTTTAGTAGTCTTTATATATGCCGCATGATCTGGCTTATTCTGATTGGGGCAATTAGAAGCAATTAAGGAGAAAAAGAGTTCAGACTGGCATACAACAATACCCTGCTGGTATGGTGAGCCTGTTCATTAGAGGAGGCTCCATTTTTAATCTGCTTAATATCTAATTTAAATAATAATGGCTAGTTTGCAAGCAATGCAAGTTGGATTTAGGTTGTCCATATTTATTGACAAGTCCTTCACAATTCCTGGATAACGGAAGGCATGTCTATGTTGAGGATTTGACAAAAAGCTGAAATATTTTGTGCTAAAAATAATAATTCACCTAACTGGGCTCAATGAAATACTTTATTTGACCAAATATCCAGTAGACCTTCCTACAATTGCCTTTAATTAGCAGCACTTTGGATCTCCAGTGTATTGTTTGAATTAAACTGATTCCTTCATCACAGTTTTGAAAAAAGGGTTTGTTAATCACTTTTGTAAAGCAAACAAATAAGCAAACATCTGAGCACATAAATAGTGCTGTCTTGTCTTGTAAGAATAGCATACATATACTTTCCTAGCAAAACAGATAAGAAATGTATCTTTTAAAAACTATATTTTTAAAAAATGGACACTGGATTGATTGGGGAAACATTCCCATGGCATAGAAACACAATGTCAGCTGGCAAAATCGCATTCATAACCAACAACCTGCATTCAAAAAGAATGGGTTTGGCTAGATGGCCCACCTATATATACAGCTTTACTCAAATGCTGCAATAGCCAAACTAAATAGGGTTTAGCATCACAAATCCACCATCTCAAAAGTGAAATCCAGAGACCATATAGTATATATATCTAACCATAATATATACTGACTGGGATCAATAGATGTATTTCCAATATAATGGAAAACTGCCAGGTTGGTTAAATCTGCTATAAACACAACATATCTTACCTTCTTCAGGATGTTCTCTGCCTTTTTCATAAGCTTCCTGAGACTGGCCTTGCCTAGACACCTAGCCAAATAAATAAATAAATAAATCACATATGATGTCTATCATATTTTGTGGTACATTGGCCCCATAGTATAAAACTGTCAGTCTCCAAGTTCAGTAAAAGTATTTTTAAACATTTTACAGGACAAATAAACTAAAGCAAGGGATGTCCCAATTTTCTCTTTTCAGCTATAGAATGGCTTCCGTAGTCCTTGTTTTGCATCAGATGTTTTATTAAAAATGGCATTATTAAAAAGTTTAAAAAAATCCCTCTAGTTTGCTTTAATATAGGTAAGTTAACTAATACTTTATGTAACTCCTTTAAAGTTTATGATTAATTCTGTAACCTTGCTGATTTCAATCCAAAAATATTCATGGCAGCTCTAGGTTAATGCTATTGTATGATCTTATGAGTCATATGAACATGCCTTCAGCATGCCATGAAACTTATTTACAGAACAAACCAATGCACATCTATTCAGAAGCATTACTATGGGAAAAGGGCACTCACGTTATGCTTATTCCTTACAAAAAAAGGAAAAGGCATACTATGTTAGAATTCATAGTAACCACTAGGTATTAACCAAATGGCACTAAGTTTGTTAACAACCATCATTTGAACAGGCTCCCACCTTCATCGTAATCAATAAAATTTTGTACAAATTGATGCATTAATTTTGAAACATTAAAGACCATTCAGACAGTCTCTTTTTCATTGTAATGTTGATATTTTGTTGCATGAGGGGAAAAAAACCAGGTAACCCTTATGCACAACAACAAAATAAAAAGAACAGAAGTTATTTTGTTATTGGAGAAGATAGAAATACAAGTGTCTTTTCCTAGAATAAGCAACAATTGTTAACAAATAACAAATAACCAGCAATTTAGTGCTGCTGTTTTACAAAACTCAAAGTTAGCTGCCCAAAGCATCTGTCTCATTCTGCCCAATGGTAGCACCAGTCCCACTTCACTGTGACATACACACACATATATATGTACCTACCCATAAATAACATTGAATGTGAGTGGAATTTCTTGGAACTAATGTGTTTGGGACCCTTTTCCTAATTATTAGTAGGGCAGGGCCCAGTGCTACATTCCTAAAATATTTCTACATCAACTCCTGCCAGAAGCAACAGGAGGAAAGAGGCTCTTCTGACTTATGAGCACCTATTACTATCTCTGAGCTACCCAGGCTACAGAATAACATTTCTCCAAACTTTCAGGCATCTTTTTCCATGTAAACAAATTCAGACTTCGGGTTTTATGAAGCAATGCAAGCAGTCGATACTTCCTTTATGCAAATATGCATGGAGCCTCTGTTTTCCTGCAGTTGCAGTGGGCTTCTCAATTTATAATCAACTCTTAAATCTGAATGGAAATCCCTAACTGTGGTTTTTTTGGAGGAGAATTGTGTGACCCTTTGCCTGACAAGATCTATTCTTGTAAACTGTTTAGAATGTTATGAGTAGGGGGGGAAGGGCAGAATCTGTGTTACTGTCCCGATCATGCCCAATTCCTCCATCTAGAGTTAAATGGTTAATACTTAGCCACACATAATTGCCTCTATGTTCTCAGTTCCAAGCCTACTTTACACATCAGGATAAGGCAGGGCACCAAATATAATCACACTACTATACAGAACACCCAGCACCAAATTCAAGAGTTTGAATCTCCAAACAGAAAGGGGGGGGGAAATTACAGTTCATCTTAAACAGCTGTCTGCACACAGAAAAAAAGGAACCAGTTTGGCAAAAAGAAAAAAAGAAAAAGAAAGCCCAATGAGCCAAGGGAAAAAGGCTACTCCAGAGGCATTCTAGCAGTAGCGTCCTTGTCTCTCCTCCCCACCTCCCTCCCTTCTAAGTTGGGGATAAAGTAGCAATAAGATTAAACTCTGGGTAAACAAATCGCCCGTTCTATTTCGTCTCCCGAGCGAGCCCAGGCTCTACTTCTCAAGGGGTGGGAGGGGAGTGCAAACAGCTTCAAACTCCGCTCTCTCTCTCCTCCCACCACTACGCCAAGCGCTACTCATTCATGGGGAACCAGAGGCAGATCGGTTTTCAAAGCGCCGTGGTTCAAAAAAAAAAAAAACACACACAAAAAAAACCCCTGTAACCCACTTGGCGGCTTGCAGCTTCCCGTTTTCCATTCTGGGCTCGCACCCCCACCCCCCCCGCCACCTTTCCTTAGCTGGCCGTGAAAAAAAAAAAAGAAGAAGAGGAACGAGGGACCTTGAGCAAGGAAAGCCCTTTAAAACCAAAGAAAAAGGACCAATCACTTTTCCCTACTCGAACCCCCCCACGAACAGACTCGAGGCCAAAGAGATGAAAGAAAGCCGGAAAAGGTTTGCTCCGCGCTCCCACCCAAAGGGAAGCCCACCCAGAGAGCGAAAGCGGACCGTCTCCCTCCGGGCAGGGCTCGGTTGCTCCGGGGACTCCCGCTGCTGCTGCTGCTGCTCCTACTCCTTGACCGCGAAACTTTCTGCCGCTCCACGCTCCATCAGCCCGGGAGCGCTCCCGTTTTCCCCTCCGCGCAAACGGGCGTCCGGAGTTTAAACCCGCTCCCTTTCCCCCCCCCCCGCCTACTATTACCTCGTGCCCGTTGCTGTTGGGGATCGTTTCCGACTCGTTGACCAGCGAAGACTTGATGTCGGCCAAGTCCCCTTCTTCCTCCGGGTGGCTGATCTCGGCGAAGATGGTTTCCTTCTGGGGGTCCCCTTCGTCCTTGAAGGGGATCATCTCGTCGGTGGCACAAAGCTCCGGGTCGCCTCCGCCGCCGCCGCCGCCTCCCGAGAGCTGAGGCATAGTCGTGGCTTTTTTTTTTCCACCCCGGGAAATCAAGGAAAAGGAGGGCAGGGCAGGAAGAGAGAGAGAGCGAAAGAGAGGGATAACAGGAGGGACAGGGAAGGAGCGAGGAAGTTATAAAAAGGCTTTGGGCGCCGAGCTCGCTTTGCGCTGCGCTCCTAAAGCCTCCCCCCCCCTACTCCGCCTCTCTCTCTCTCTCTCTCTCTCTCTCTCGCTCGCTCGCTCGCTCGCTCTCAGCCTAAGCGCAGCGCTCTCCTCCCTTTTCCACCCCATCCATATCCAAACACCTGGGGGAGGGGAGAGCGAGCAAGGCTGGAGCGGAGCCGGCCCCCGTCTACTTTGTCTGCTTTAAAAGGAGGGGAGGGGAAAGGGAGCCAAAGAGCCGGGCAGACTCGCGCGCGCGCCCCCCCCCTCCGGTTTCTGTTGTGTCTGCAGCTAAGACGGCACGAAAGTCGGGCAAGTTGGCTTCCCTGAGAGAGACTTTTTAACTCCGGTTTTCTAACGCGAAGCCTGGTGTGTGTGTGTGTGGGGGGCTGTGGACCCCCGAGGTCCCCCTTTTCCCTTTTGTGAAAGAAGACACAACCGCCCGATTATTATTTTTTCCCCCGGGGTGTCTGTGTGTGACGCACAAACGCCGGTCTTCGAGAGGAAAAGCCAACCAGCCCTTTAAATGGAAGCCTTCGGAGACACAGAAGCCGGCCCCGTTGGGAAGCCGCCCAAGGAAGGACGGGGGGTCTCCGCGCCCGTGCGTGCACACACACACACACACACACACACACACACACACACACACACAGCGCGGAGGTCCGGGGCCCAAAGTTGGAGCGCGCGCGCGTGTGTGTGTTTGTGGGGGGGGAAAGAGGGGGATGCCAACGGGAGAGAAAGGCCGGAAGGAAGAGGGGCAAGCAATCTCACACAAACACACCAGGATTCCGCTTTTGTTCCTTGGCGGGGAAAGACTTTGGTGGTGGTGTTTTTTTTTTCTCTCTCCTCCTGCTCGCCTGCCTAGTCCTCTGCGCCGTCCTGGCTCTCCCGAAGCGAACGGAACCGGGCGGCTGGCATTTACAAGGGGGAAGCGGAGCCGGAAAATCCCTCAGGCGCAGGTAAAGGAGAAGGAGAAGAAGCGAAAGTTCTCGTCGGGGGGGGGGAAGGTGGAGTGAAAGGGGACGCGCCTTAAAAAGAAGGAGGAGAGGAAGTTAGCCTCTTCAGGAATTAGAAAAGCCCCCCCCCCCACCCTCAAAATCGAGCCGGGCTGCAACCCTGGAGATCAAAAGGCCAACCAACCCCAAACTTCTTCCTGGTGCCGCTGACCCCCCTCAGCGACCCACGCGCGGGCGCGCACTCGCTTTTTTGGGTGTGGGTGTGGGTGTGGGTAAGGGGGGGGGACACCGAGCGCTCGGTTTTAGTCGGCGAGAAGGGCGGGCGCAGAAAGGTCCCCTTTCGCCGAAGGTGCCGGTTGCGGTTCTGTGGCCTCCCCGGCCTGCGACGAGGATTCCCCCGCGCGAAAAGCCGCCGGCCCAGGGGTTCCTGGTTCCGTCCACGAGCTCCGCTGGGCTTGCGAGACGGGCCGCGCGAGGTGGGAAGGCAGCCGCCCACCGCGCTCTCCTCGCGCGGCGTTAACTTTGCCGTCCCTCAGCCCGCTTCGCCTCCTGCCCCTCCCCCCTCCCCCCTCCCGCGCTCTCTGGCTCTGGTGAAAAGGGCGGGGGCGGGAAGAGAGAAGATGAAAGCGAAGCCGCCGCCTTGATTGACAGCTCGTGGATAGATGCTCTTGAGAGAAAAAGGAAAAACGCAGCCCCACAGAGAGGAGAGGAAGAAAAAAAAACAGCCTAAACCGGGAAAGCGTCAGGATGGTGCTGGAAAGCTCGTTTCGTCTTCAAACCCAACCCACAGCACAAAAAGAAAAAGGGGCAAAAGCCAGGCCAACAAAGTTAAAAAAGAAAAAAGAAAAATCAAAACAAAAAAAAAAAACAGGAATGTCTCACCTGGAAAGTTTCCCCTAAGGTGGATGGCGAAGAGGCTGGGAAGGGGAGGGGCGGGTCAGAAAAGTAGTCAGAGGAATCCAAACGTAGGGCTGGGTGTTTGTTACCCCCCCCCCGTTTGCCTTTGTTTTTCCCTTAATTCACAACGGTTGTCCCCGTCCCGTTCTTCTGCGCCGTTGGTGCCGTTTTTGTAAGGATCTGAGGTTGGGCGAAAAATAAACAAGGGCGAGGGTGGGCTGGGCGCTGCTATGGGGAGGGGTGGGGGCTTCTAATCCCATCTCTTCCTCCCCAAACCAAGGTCTCCGGAGATAATAAGTAACAGGGATCCGAACATCCTCAGACAAATCTGGGACAAGGATGCGTCTCTTGTTTTGTTTGGTTAAGACTTTCCCCTTTTGCAGAGGGGGGGGGAGGCCGTGTATCCATTAACAATTCCTGCGGGCTGATAATGGGGTTCTCATATGGCTGTTGCTATATATTTACAGTGACAAAAGGCAAACACGTGAACAGACTAATACAGTCTTCTGATTCCCGAATTCCCGAATGCTAAATCATATTTGAAATAGAACATTTAAATCCGCAGTCTTATGCCCAATTGGTCGAAAAGGAAGTCCTATTGAACGGAACGGACTGTGCTGAATACACGTGTGTGTGTGTGTGTGTGTGTGTGAGAGAGAGAGAGAGAGAGAGAGAGTTTATACTGAAGTAACACCTTCGCATATTCTCCTTCCATATATTCACATTTAGTCACTGATGTGATAACTGGAACACCAGAGTCTTTTATTGCCTATATTTATACATGCATCTCTGCGAGCACGGGCTGCATGTATGGGGAAAGGAAAAATCNGCGCGCGCGTGTGTGTGTGGGGGGGGGGGGGAAGAGCGGGATGCCAACGGGAGAGAAAGGCCGGAGGGAAGAGGGGCAAGCAATCTCACACAAACACACCAGGATTCCGCTTTTGTTCCTTGGCAGGGAAAGACTTTGGTGGTGGTGTTTTTTTTTTTTCTCCTCCTGCTCGCCTGCCTAGTCCTCTGCGCCGTCCTGGCTCTCCCGAAGCGAACGGAACCGGGCGGCTGGCATTTACAAGGGGGAAGCGGAGCCGAAAAGTCCCTCAGGTGCAGGTAAAGGAGAAGAAGCGAAAGTTCTCGTCGGGGGGGGGGAAGGTGGAGTGAAAGGGGACGCGCCTTAAAAAGGAGGAGGAGAGGAAGTTAGCTTCTTCAGGAATTAGAAAAGCCCCCCCACACACCCTCAAAATCGAGCCGGGCTGCAACCCTGGAGATCAAAAGGCCAACCAACCCCAAACTTCTTCCTGGTGCCGCTGACCCCCCTCAGCGACCCACGCGCGGGCGCGCACTCGCTTTTTGGGGTGTGAGTGTGGGTGTGGGTAAGGGGGGGGGGACACCGAGCGCTCGGTTTTAGTCGGCGAGAAGGGCGGGCGCAGAAAGGTCTCCTTTCGCCGAAGGTGCCGGTTGCGGTTCTGTGGCCTCCCCGGCCTGCGACGAGGATTCCCCCGCGCGAAAAGCCGCCGGCCCAGGGGTTTCTGGTTCCGTCCACGAGCTCCGCTGGGCTTGCGAGACGGGCCGCGCGAGGTGGGAAGGCAGCCGCCCACCGCGCTCTCCTCGCGCGGCGTTAACTTTGCCGTCCCTCAGCCCGCTTCGCCTCCCGCCCCTCCCCCCTCCCCCCTCCCGCGCTCTCTGGCTCTGGTGGAAAGGGCGGGGGCGGGAAGAGAGAAGATGAAAGCGAAGCCGCCGCCTTGATTGACAGCTCGTGGATAGATGCTCTTGAGAGAAAAAGGAAAAACGCAGCCCCACAGAGAGGAGAGGAAGAAAAAAAAACAGCCTAAACCGGGAAAGCGTCAGGATGGGCTGGAAAGCTCGTTTCGTCTTCAAACCCAACCCACGGCACAAAAAGAAAAAGGGGCAAAAGCCAGGCCAACAAAGTTAAAAAAGAAAAAAGAAAAATCAAAACAAAAAAAAAAAACAGGAATGTCTCACCTGGAAAGTTTCACCTAAGGTGGATGGCGAAGAGGCTGGGATGGGGAGGGGCGGGTCAGAAAAGTAGTCAGAGGAATCCAAACGTAGGGCTGGGTGTCTGTTACCCCCCGTTTGCCTTTGTTTTTCCCTTAAATCACAACGGTTGTCCCCGTCCCGTTCTTCTGCGCCGTTGGTGCCGTTTTTGTAAGGATCTGAGGTTGGGCGAAAAATAAACAAGGGCGAGGGTGGGCTGGGCGCTGCTATTGGGAGGGGTGGGGGCTTCTAATCCCATCTCTTCCTCCCGAAACCAAGGTCTCCGGAGATAATAAGTAACAGGGATCCGAACATCCTCAGACAAATCTGGGACAAGGATGCGTCTCTTGTTTTGTTTGGTTAAGACTTTCCCCTTTTGCAGAGGGGGGGGGGAGGCCGTGTATCCATTAACAATTCCTGCGGGCTGATAATGGGGTTCTCATATGGCTGTTGCTATATATTTACAGTGACAAAAGGCAAACACGTGAACAGACTAATACAGTCTTCTGATTCCCGAATTCCCGAATGCTAAATCATATTTGAAATAGAACATTTAAATCCGCAGTCTTATGCCCAATTGGTCGAAAAGGAAGTCCTATTGAACGGAACGGACTGTGCTGAATACACGTGTGTGTGTGTGTGTGTGTGTGAGAGAGAGAGAGAGAGAGAGAGAG